TTTTGGATTGAGGTGAGGGTAATGTACAGAAAAGAAGAGAAGTGAAGGGATGAATTGAGAAGAAAGTAAGCTTAGACTGGATGGTAGAAAGTGTGAGGGCATCACAGAGACGCTGCGGGAGTTTTGAATAAGAGCACGGGACAGCCAAACAGAATGGTGTGGGAGGATCACGAAAGGGGATTTTACCTACTGTGAAGAACAATTTTACAAATTCTGAGTGGAAAACATCCAGGGATATAATATGCTTAATGGATACAGTACAATATTGCTTAGAGATTCCCTTGCAAGTCATTAGATGATGCATTGACTTTTTCAAGTTGCTATTCCTTTAAAGTGGTATAACTCTAACTAGCAAATCATCATTCCCCCAAAAGTATTTATTAAGAACTCATTGTCCACAGTGCTATTGTGTGAAATCCAATGGGCTAGGAAACCTATTTCAGTTTTCTGTATAGATCCAGCTATTAAGAGGCTACAGGAAATAGAAGGGGTTTATTATCAGATTTGTAGACATAATAAAGTTAGTGCTCAAACTCTGCCTAGTTGCTTCATCTTAAACTCAGCACTTTGGTAGTTCAGTTAAAAAAAAAAACAGAAACAAAAAAATTTAGTTTGACTGTAATGGAGGATATTCACAAGAGTTCCAGTGAAACCACACTTAGATTCCAAACTTTGAGAATATTCTGCTTCTTTTAAATTGGCTGAAACACTCACATATTGAAGAGCTTGATGTTGATCCTACTGATTTTGAGACTCCTATTATGAGAGACTTTAACTGGCTGAAAGCAAACATGACGTGAAACCTGAACACGAGAAATAGGGAAAGGAGTACATCAAGGTTGTACATTGTCACCCTGATTATTTAGCTTATATGCAGAGTGTATCATGCAAAATGCTGGGCTGAATGAAGCACAAGCTGGACTCAAGATTGCTGAGAGAAATATCAATAACCTCAGATATGCAGATGACACTACCCTTATGGCAGAAAGTGAAGAAGAACTAAAGAGCATCTTGAAGAAAGTGATGGAGGAGAGTGAAAAACCTGGCTTAAAACTCAACATTCAGAAAACTAAGATCATGGCACACGGTGCCATCACTTCATGCCAAATAGATGGAGAAACAGTGGAAACAGTGAGAGAGTTTATTTTTGGGGGCTCCAAAATCACTGCAGATGGTGACTGCAGCCATGAAATTAAAAGATGAGTGCTCCTTGAAAGAAAAGTTATGGCCAGCCTAGATGGCATATGAAAAAGCAGAGACATTACTTTCCCGACTAAGGTCTGTCTAGTCAAAGCTATGGTTATCAGTTCAGCTCAGTTCAATTCAGTCACTCAGTCATGTCTGACTCATTGTGACCCCGCGGACTGCAGCATATCGAGCCTACCTGTCCATCACCAACTCCCGGAGTTTATGCAAACTCATTGAGTCGGTGATGCCATCCAACCATCTCAACCTCTGTCATCCCCTTCTCCTTCCACCTTCAGTGGTTTTTCCAGTAGTCATGTATGGATATGAGAGTTGGAATATAAAGAAAGCTGAGCACTGAAGAATTGATGCTTTTGAATTGTGGTGTTGGAGAAGACTCTTGGGAGTCCCTTGGACTACAAGGAGGTCAAACCTGTCCATCCTAAAGGACATCAGTCCTGAATATTCATTGGAATTACTGATGCTGAAACTGAAACTCCAATACTTTGGCCACCTGATGCAAAGAACCGACTTATTGGAAAAGACCCTGATGCTGGGAAAGATTGAAGGCAGGAGAAAAAGGGGATGACAGAGGATGAGATAGTTGGATGGCATCACCAACTCAATGGACATGAGTTTGAGCAAGCTTTGGGAGTTGGTGATGGACAGGGAGGCCTGGAGTGCTGCAGTCCATGGGGTCGCAAAGAGTTGGACCTGACTGAGTAACTGAAATGAACTGACTCTGGTTCAAAACATGCCAGATTAAGGTCTTTCAGCACTCTTGCTTTACTAAGACCAGGTTGTTTGGTGACATTACATTGAGAAGAAGACCTTCTTTTCTGCACTATGAGTTCATGCTTGGGAATTTCAGTTTCACATACTAAATAGCACGTAAGAGTTTGCCTGCTCTTGGGAAAATTCACATGGACCTGGCAGGTTTCCTGCAGTGACAGAGAGGGGCCAATGAGGGCAGCAAAAAGGAGCATCCCAGGAGCAAGTGGGCCACAAAGCATTTCTTTGCTGTTGTTCAGTCGCTCAGTGGTGTCCGACTCTTTGTGACCCCATGGACTGCAGCAATGTAGCCCACCAGGCTCCTCTGTCCATGGGATTTCCCAGGCAAGAATACTGGAGTGGGTTGCCATTTCCTTTTCCAGGGGATCTTCCTGACCAAGGGATCAAACTCATGCCTCTTGTGTCTTCTGCATTGACAGTTGGGTTCTTTAGCAGCTGAGCCACTGGGGAAGCCCCACAAGCATTTCTATCTGTGACATTTATCACCCAAGAAAGGCAAAATAACAGTAGAAAACTGGGAGAATTACATGTGTCAGGCAGCAAGGAGAGCACTGAGAGATACAGAACAGAGAAGCAATTGTGAACAAGAGCCTGTTGTCGCATGAAATAAATGCGAGAGGGAGTTTGAAAATTAATGTGAACAAACTGATGGGCAAATAGAAATAAAAATCTGAGACTGCTCATGGAATCGTGGGGTAAGGAGCAACATGTGGCATAATATGACCAGCAGACAATTCTGTTTGCTAGACTCTCAGCTTTTAAAAAACTGAAGTGTCAGTTATCCTATTTTGGGATTAGTTAAGTCTCTATTTTTAAAAATTTTAACTATTTTATACTTGTACACAGCATGTATAAAAACCTGTCTAATAAAGTCATTGAATAGTAATTGTAGCTGATACTTATTTATTGTGTGCCAGGAAATATGCTAAGTATCAACAGAATAAAGGCAATTGTGTGTTTAGAATTATTCTTCATTGTTATTATTACTTAGGCTAAGTTTTGAAAGCTCAGCAATGGATATTGTTAGTTTCCTATTCAGCATTTATCCTCACTTCCTCTTTCTTAATAAAACCCTATTTTTCCTATTTTTATTTTAATTAAAAATTTTTATAGTCATTCATCTTTCTTCCTTCAGTTTGTGGATCAGTATACCTTCAAGCCTAGAAGTGAACCCTCACTCATTTATTCATGCCTGTGTAGACCAATTTGATACACTTGCTCAAAAGTCCTAGTTGGTTCTGGGTTTGACATGACATACAACTCTAGCCAAAGAGAATGAAGAGACGTGCTCTGGGGAATTATTTTAAAGCTCCACTTAACTCTTCATGAGGACTCTGAGGAGTAACCACTTTCCAGAAATCAAAGCCTAGTTGTAAGGAATTGGGATTCAATCCGAGACCTGAATTTCACTTTTAGTCAAATCATGCTCTCCCTCAAAAGATGTAAGCATATTAATTCCTAGAACCTGTGAGTACATTACCTAATATGGCATATGGTATATGCCACCTTATTTGAGGATGTGACTAAGTTAAAGATCTTGAGATGGGGAGATTATCTTGGATTATCCAGGTGGGCCCTACAAGGCTTGTAAGAAGAAGACAGCAGGGTCAGAGCAAGAGAAGGAGCTGAGGTAACAGAAGTATATCAAAGTGATGCAGCCTTGAGCCAAGGAATGCAGTCATGCTCTAGAAGTTGTAGAAGTTTCCACCATGAGCAGAGCCTCACTTAGAGCCTCTAGAAGTAACTCAGCTCTACTGACACCTTAATTTTAACCATGTTTATGACCCATCTTGGATTTCTGGCCCCCAGAATGGTAGGGTAATAAATTTCTGTTGTTTTAAATCATTAAGTTTGTGGTAAATTGTTACAATAGCAATAAAAAACTAACACATCACATAAGCATAGTTTGAGATTTCATATATATCAGAAATATGATCAATTTTTTAAGAAGAAATGAAGTAGATATAAATTTTCAAATTTAACTAACCTACAACTCTGTTTGTACAAGCATTACAAATATGTTCAAGTGAAAACAGAAATTACTTCTATGGTATTTAGGTAATTTGACTCCTTTGTTAGTAATGAAACCTGTTTAGTATCTGGATATTTTTGTTAAGTGTGTACAATTATTTGTATGTCTTCATTTTGGCTTAAATATTATATGATGTCCTGAATGACTGTATACTGCCTATCTCAGAACAGATATGCCACCATCATGAAAAATATTTACGTTGGAAGAACATGTTGGTTTACTTCTTAGACTAGTTCAGTCTACCTTGTTTGTTTGGTTTTTTTGGGGGGTATTAAATCTTTTATTGATTACACATGATAATGGATGATACACAAGCTTCATTCCCATCTATAACTTTTATCTGGCACCATAATTCAATTTAGATATATTGCATAGGATGTGCCAACAATCATTAATAACCAAAAAAAAACCTCCATGACTTTGCATGGGTGACCCTTTTAATGGTGAACTCCAGGTCACAACACAGTAACTGTCAGTTCAACTACACCAAGGTTCTGAAGACAACAGCTTCTCCACCAAGCAGGTTGTAAATAAATTTCAAATGGAAACTGGCATCACCCTGAAGGAATTCTAACTTCACACTGTTGGGGTAGTTTACCAAAATGGCTTCAGAGTAGACTAACTTTACACAGCACATTAAAAAAAAAAATAAAAAGACATTTATTTAGCGTCATGATCAGACTATTACATTTAGCAATCAACAGCATGGGTGCAAAAAAAAAAAAAAAATCTACATTAAAACCCTTTGTTGGAATGCTTTACACTTTCCACAGAACAGAAACTAAAATAACCTGTTATACAATTAGTCACAAGTACAGTCCTCGAGTTTTTTGTCCATACACATGAGTATTGTCTAAAACATGTCTTCTTTGGAGCAGCGAGGCCCTGCCACCACTGTGCTTGGCTGAGTTCACAAGTCTGTTGTAACCTGTAGCTTCCCTGTCACTTCTCCGGCTCTCCTCTCCTGCTAAGCTTTGTTTCCTGGCAGTAATTAAAACCTTCTGCCACTGCCATAGCTACTGCTGCTGCTGTAACCACCACAGCCACCTTGGTTTCGTGGTTTGGCAAAGTATTGGCCTGCACCACCATAGGGGCCAGAACTTCTGCCTCCGAAGTTTCCTCCTTTCATGGGTCCAAAATTTGAAGATTGATTGTTGTAATCGCCAAAATCATTGTAGCTTCCGCTACCTCCAAAATTGCTTCCGTCATTACCAAATCCATTATATCCATCCCCACTGCCACCATATCCGCCACCACCACCACGGCTGCCACCAAAGCCACCTCGACCACTGAAGTTTCCTCCACGACCAAAGTTGTCATTCCCACCAAAACCACCTCCACGACCGCCACCAAAGTTTCCAGAACCACTTCGACCTCTCTGGCTGGATGAAGCACTAGCCATCTCTTGCTTAGACAGGGCTTTTCTCACTTCACAGCTGTGGCCATTCACAGTGTGGTATTTCTGAATGGCAGTCTTGTCTACGGAGTCATGGGCATCAAAGGTTACAAAAGCAAAGCCTCTCTTTTTGCCACTGCCTCGGTCAGTCATGATTTCAATTACTTCAATTTTTCCATACTGTTCAAAATAATCTCTCAGGTGATGTTCTTCAGTGTCTTCTTTAATGCCACCAACAAAAATCTTTTTCACAGTTAAGTGGGCACCAGGTCTTTGAGAATCTTCTCTTGACACGGCCCTCTTTGGTTCCACAACTCTTCCGTCCACCTTGTGTGGCCTTGCATTCATGGCCGCATCCACCTCCTCCACCGTGGGGTATGTGACAAACCCGAAGCCTCTGGAGCGCTTGGTGTTTGGATCCCTCATTACCACACAGTCTGTGAGCGTTCCCCATTGCTCAAAATGGCTCCTCAGACTCTCATCAGTTGTTTCAAAGCTCAATCCTCCGATGAAGAGCTTCCGCAGCTGTTCGGGCTCTTTGGGAGACTCTGATTTAGACATGACGGCAGTGGAGGCGGGGAAGTCTTCAACGATGCTTTCTCGGTGGCGTCCACGGGCAGAAATCTACCTTGTTTTAAAGTATAAATAGAAGAGAGTTTCCTGAGGAATTCAAGCATTTCACAAAACAGTATCAAAAGTTATCTGCCACAAATGATATTTTTTCCTATGGAAATTATATTGCTCTTTCAAATGACAGCCATCCTGTTATCTTGGCTAAGCTTTGCGCAATGGATTTTGGAATCATTTTCATGGAGATGGTTACTAAGAGTTGTGTCTAGTGACCTTGAATTGATTTAGATATTGAAAAGACCATCAGTTCACTATGCATAATCTGCCAAAGGCACCCACTTTTTCCATGGAAATGGGAATATTCAAAAAGCCTGCATATATCATGGATATTGATTTTTGCAGGCCCAAAAATGAAAGAGAAATATATACATTTCTGTGGAAGGCCTTCTTTAAAGCATTCTACTCCAACTATAGCCACAATAGCCCAGAGGAGGCACTTAATTCCAACTCAAAAATGACAGTGTAATATTCTTTCTGATGCAAGGTTTACCATGGATCCTCAATTAAGCTTATATTGTATGTTGATAAGAACTTCATAGATGTTGTTATCATGTCTTATACAGGAAGATAACAGCCAATAGAAATCACCAGATTTCTCACCTCCCATCTGTCACTTCCTCATTCCTTGATGGCTCAGAGGTAAAGAATCCTCCTGTAATGTAAGACATGCAAGAGATGCAGGTTTGATCCCTGGGTCAAGAAAATCCACTAGAGGAAGAAATGGCAACCCACTGCAGCATTTTTGTCTGAAAAATCCCACGGACAGAGGAGACTGGTGGACTACAGTCCAAGGAGTCACAAAGAGTCAGACACAACTGAGCACATCTATCATAGAAATTAGCCTTGAGTAAACAGAATTGGGAAGATTTTTCAGAACCTTCTGTAATGGTCATAGTTACCAATATGGAACATTTAAGGGGCATAAATCCTGCTTCCCTTACCATCTACCTATATGTGTGTGCTTCTGCTAAGTTGCTTAAGTCATGTCCAACTCTTTGCAACCCTATGGGCTATAGCCCACCAGGTTTCTCTGTCCTTGAGATTTTCCAGGCAAGAATACTGAATTGGGTTACCATTTCCTTCATCAATGTACCTATACAACTTTAGACAGTACAATTTATTTTCCCATTTTTAAGAAATGAAACCATTAACGTATCTAACTCATAGGAATGATGTCAGCATGAGAAACTCCATTTCTAGAATCTGGTGTTTATTAAATATTCAATAAAAATTCCTATTTTTGTCTTCACCCAGTTTTAGCTGAGAATTTACATGTCAAATAAAAATGTATTCTGGCTATTGCATGATCTGTGTTTACTATTTTATTATTTATACAGCAAGAGTTAGTCCTTGTTAGGTACTGCGGGACTGGATTAAGGTGAGTGTCTATTAATCTAATTGAGATCGTGAGGTCCTTTCCATCATATAATGCTGTCTTCCTCTTTTGAACTCATTTGAACCACAAGGTGAAAGACGCAGTAATTCTTTTAGGGCCACCAAAATGATGAAGTGGGGATATACCTGTTAATTCTATATCTACTTGAAAAACACATAATTCATAAAAGCTCTAACAATGAGGTGCCCACTCTGCTGTGCTTAAGAGTTTAAGTCAGGAAGTGCAGGAAGGAATATGATATAAGCTGAGGGAAATGGTGCTGAGGAGTCAGAGTGCTCATATTCATTTTGGCTTCCTCAGTGTCGCAAACAGAAACATGTATTTGTAAGAAGGAATGTATAATTAGTTAGGGAATTGCTACTTGTAACTAAATTCTGTCCTGGAGACAATTAAGTTTCTTGTCCATAATCATCCAAAGAGCTATAGGTTTACACAGAAATGCTCTGATATAATTTATGTCTTTAAGGAGGCTGTAGGGAAAAAGACACAATTTGAACATAAATATATGTAAAAGAGGAGATGGGTGATAAAATGCAATAGAGTGTTATGCCTAGTTATAGTATAGCATAATGTTAAAGTATACATTGATGAAGGAAGTCTCATAGGACCACTGAAGGTAGCCCCACTAAAAAACACACCAAAGCAGGAGACACACGTTCCATCCCTGGGTTAGGAAGATTTCCTGGAGGAGAAAATGGCAACCCACTCCAGTATACTTGCCTGGGAAATCCCACGGACAGAGATGCCTGGTGGGCTACAGCCCATGGGGTCACAAAAGAGTTGGGCAAGACTGAGTGACTAAAAACAACAACAAAAGGAGAAGCAGCCTCTTATTCATAGAAGGGTTTCTTTCTGGATCCAGGCTTGAGGCCTTGGGAGTGGCTATGTCTGGGAACAGAAGCACCTGTGAGGAAGATCATGATAGAGCAAATACAGAGAATAGTGCCAGCTACCATGTTCTCCACCTAACTTCTAGGTCAGAACCTACCAAGATTACAGAAATTCCCTCTGAGGTCTCTACAGGAGACCCTGGTCACTCTTCAAGTTAAAAACTTCATTTTGCTTCTGGGCTGTCAGCGTATCTTGTCCAGGCTCCATCTTATCCTTCTCTTGCCCTCGTGCTCTCCTTGAGGTTCTGGAACAAGCAATGCATCCCTGGAACACATCTGAGACAATATACTTGGACGTCTTCTGGATATTCACAGTACCAAGACATGTTTGGAAAATATGGACAGAAATAGCTCCAGACTGCTCTTCCTGGCTACAGGTTTAAAGACTGGAGTCAGTTTATTTGGTCACCAACATTTTCAGCATGTCCGTTATTCAGGCTTCTGGAGAATGTTCAGCAGTAGAAAAATGACTCTTAATGGCTTGTGCTCTAAGAGAGGAGAGATACAGATCTGCACAAAGAAATATCAGAAATGACAAAAGAAATAAAATTCTAAGTGGATGTTAAAATAGGATGCTTTGTGTCTGAGCTGAGGTCCCAGAGGCCAACTATACAATAAGTGCTAAGAAGCCACATGTCTGGAGGTGGAGTTACCATGAATTTAAAGAAACTTGAGCTTCAGGGTTTCTCAGGAGCACCTCCCAAGACCCTATATTTAAACATATACTAAAACTTTGTACTTTTCCTTTCAAGAGGGCTCCTAGAATTGTTTAAGCTTAGGCAGTGCAAATTTTGGATCATTTACTGCAGACCAGAGGTTTTCACACAGGAGTTTAAATGTATTTTACCAACACTTTCCAAGAGGTATGTATCATAGATCATTTTAAGAGTATCAGTCTCCATATCTTCAGCTTCTGTATGTGTTATTTTAGTGGATTGATTTTACCTAAAAATACACTGTGGCCCAAGTGTCATGCTGGTTTTTCTTTTCCATTTTCTCCTTTGCAATCCTCATTCTCTTTCTTTACTAAAGAAACTCATAACTGGTCCTGAATCTTAATGTGGTGACATTTTTTTCCCTCTGGGTTTAAAAATATTCAGGTTCCAAACAAAGAAATTTCCTAAAATACTGCTCTCGGAGAAGATCCTCTAATCTAGATGTTTCCTAAACATCATTACCTGCCAGTTTGTGTTAGGAGTGACACCTGACATAAGAAGTGGAGTATTTTGGTCATGTTGGCAGGCTCCAAATTTAGATCATTATTTTCATTTAGATTCATTTCCCCTTCCATCCACTGAATATTGATAAAGAATAGGAAGACTACGAAGAATCCAATAAGGAAAAACAAAAAAAGTGGAAGTGAAGTGCCTTATTTCATCCATACAACAGTCTCTTTGACTTGTCTGTCTGTCTGTCTGTCTATCTTTATCAATCTTCTATCACTGTTATTAAAAAACTGCTATAAACATGGTGACTTAAAATAAATGAAATTTCTTCTCTCACAGTTCTGAAGGCAGAAGTCTAAAATTAAGGTGTTGGCATGGCTTTACTCCCTTCAGCGACTCTAGGAGAGAATCAATTCCCTTTCTCTTTCAGCTTCTGGTGGCTGTCTGCAATGACCTCCTTGTCTTTTCTATGTGGATTTCCTTCGTGTATTCCTTATAAGGTGGTTCCCTGGTGACTCAGTGGTAAAGAATCTGCCTGCCCATGCGTGTGATTCAGGTTTTATCCCTGAATCAGGAAGATCCTCTGGAGAAGGTGCCCCATGCCAGTATTCTTGCCTGGGAAATCCCATGGACAGAGGAGCCTGGTGGACTATAGTCCATAGGGTCACACAGAGTTGTACATGACCCAGTAACTGAACAATAACAACAATGCTTGTCATTGGATTTAGGGTCTTCCTGGATAATTGATGATAATTTTCTCATTTCAAAATCTTTAACTGTATTGCTTCTTCCAAGATCCCATTTCCCAATAAAGTTACATTTACAGGCTCCAGAGTTTTGACATAGGTATCTTTAGGTCTACCATTCAAGTCACTATATTATCTAGTTATCTACTATCTGTCATTCATTTATATCTATCTACCTACCTACCTACCCATCATCTATCTTAGAATTCAAAAAAAAAAGATGGTTTTCACAGTGGCACAAATTAGCACATTTATTTGAAATAAAAAAATGAATTCAGATATTTTAGTAGAAAGTCAGTCTGATTTATTAGAAAATACTCACTTTGCCATTAGTTTTAAAACAATTATTTTCCAAAGGGACAATAAGTAAAATCAACAGGTACATGGTTTTGATAAAAATATGTAAAAAATATTAAAATACTTTTCCACCAAAATTAATTATTTTGGGAATGTAATAAACTGTATTTTTCTTTTTTCTAACTGTTTCTGAGTATCTGAAATTAAACCAGATGCCTCTAAGTGGAAGAAGAATGGGATGACTGTCATTTAATAAATTTTGGTTTACTTATTAGAAATAAGGAAATGAATTACTCCAACAATGGAATAATTCACCCTTTGAAGAAACAGATGATTTCTTTTATTTTATTTTTTGAATAAAATTGAAGAAGGGACTAATCAAATTGTAATTCAGAATAGATTTGTTATGCTTGCCATAAGACTTCTGGCTTTTAAT